ATAAATGCTGCTCCTACCGTCTGGTTACAGACAGATCCATCTGTGAAGATGTTAAGCTGAGCAGTGCTAGGCGCTTTTTTAAAGAATGATACAGCTGTTTTTTCTGCTGGGTGCGTATCCCAGGGATCTAACAGTTTTTGGATTTGTTCCGTCTGCCAGGTCGTCCCAAGTATAGTGTGGTCACTGTTTCTCTGAAACAAGTGAAATGACGCGGCTTCTTTATCGAGTGTTAGTGCTATTGGCATAATGTTTGAGAGAATATTAAGGTTGATATTGCTAACGGTGCGGTATGCTTTAGTTATTTTCAAAAGCGGCGTTCTTTGTACTGACTGTAGCTTTCTGGCCAAGTGCAAATTGTTTGTATTTTTCCACCATACGGGGGCGGCGTACGTAATTGCTCGTTCTATTCCTCTGATATAAATGTCTCTGAATTGTGTCCCCTTGATGCCCCAGTTGACCCCGGAAAACATACCGAGGGCTTGGGTGCTTTGAGTTATTTTAGATTTTAGATATTCTGCATGTGCCGTGAATGTCAGTTTTGAGTCGAAAACGACCCCGAGGATTTTTAATGAATTTACATGAGTGAGGTTGCGACCTCCCAATTTAATGGTTGGTACTCGTTTTTTATACCGATCTCCAATATCAAGAACTTCGCACTTGGCCGGGTTAAAGCTTAGCCTTTTTTCATCTCCCCATTCTTTAATGAGGTTTAGCGCCCGGTTTGCATTGTCCTCCAGTTCTTTCCGTGATTTTCCCGTCACTATTAGGGTTACGTCGTCAGCAAATGCCTGAATCGTTATATTGTTTTCGAATCTTTGTTGAAGAAGATCCGCAATAACAACATTGAAAAGAAGTGGACTGAGGGGTGAACCTTGCGGACACCCCTTTACTGAGCCGATAGTAATTTTTTCGCTTTTTGTTAAGTAGGACATTTTGCGGTTTGTCAAAAAGTCTCGAACCAAATTGAAGAGATTTCTGGGGCAGTTGTTTTCTCTTAGTTTGTTAATTACTACTGGGGCCCAGAGCGAGTTGAAGGCTCCCTTGATGTCCAGAGACACCAAGATTGCCCCCTTCCCCTCCCTCTTGACGTCCTCCAGCTTAGTTTTAATTTTGTAAACGCGCTTACTGCAGACTTTCTGTGGGTAAAGCCAAGTTGGTTTTCATGAAGTAGTTTTTTAGAGTGTAAGAAATGGTACAGCCTATTGTTAATTAATTTCTCTAATACTTTACCAAAGATGGAGTTCAGACAGATCGGTCTATATCCGGAGGGACTGTCAACCCTATCTGTCTTTTTGAGTACTAGTATTTTTCCTTCTTTCCATTCAGCGGGGAAATAACCAAATTCCAGACACGCGTTGAAAATTTTAAGAAAGAGTTCTTTAAAGTTGTTGTAGATTGTTCTCAGGAAAAAGGTTTTGATATTATCAATTCCTGGTGCAGTTGTTAATTTCAATTTAGCCAAAACAGCATCTACCTCTGCTGAAGTGAATGGTATGTCATTGATTGTATTGATATCTTCGAGTGACATGAGACGCACGTTGGTCTCATGTGCCGAGTCGCTGTTTGGGTCATCTTCCTCGAATAGCGTTGTTAGGATAAAACGTACTGTCTCTGCCAGACTTTTCGTCCGAACTCCATCTGGTAACACGAGAGGACAAAGCACTACCGGGCGTTTAAGTTTGTTAAGTGCTATCTTATATGGGAGGGTAAAAACATTATTGCCGTGGATGACACCGCAGAACTCTTTAAAAGAGCTCTGCTTTGCATCCTTTATGTTGCTTTTATAATCTTTGTGCGCTTCATAATAGGATTTCTTAAAGTGATCTCTATTGTTATATTTGCAATTTCGATATCTGCGCCGAAGCGCCCGAATTTTTTTACGTTCGATAGAAAGTTGTGTGGTCCACCATTTAACTTCATTTGCTCGATAGGTAACTACCTTGGAATATATTTCCGTAAGTTCTTCAATTTTGTCATAAAATGTTCTAATTACATGCTCTAAATGATTTTTGGAAACGAGAGGTCTGCTTGACATGTCCGTAAGCCAGCGGTCTTTTATTAATTTGTCTATAACCTTTATCTCGCCTGTTTTTGTTAGTCTTTTGACTGGGCACCTGTTTCCAAAAGCTGTAATTTTGATGTAGCTGTGGTCGCTGCCTGAAGGAGTGTCCAAAACCTCCCAATCCGAAATGTGTCCTAATGTGTGTCCATTTACAATAGTTAGATCAATCCAACTTTCGCCGTTTGGTGAGGCGAAAGTTGGGGACGAGTTTCTGTCATTGATCCACACTAATTCTAAGCTTATAAAAAGGTCTGCTAATTCCTCTCCTCTCTGGTCTAATCTCTGTCCCCCCCAGCTGGGGTTTTTTGCGTTAAAGTCTCCTAATAATATAAGTTTTTCTGATTTGTGCTGTTCTACAACTTCGGTGATTATTTGCAGCCAAGGTGTTATGTCGTCATCAGGTGGTATATAAACGTTTGCTAGCACAAACGTTTGGTTTTCTGTGTTACAGCGGACCACTAGCAGATCTCTGGCTACGGTAATAGGAAATGCATCGCAAAAGTTATCGTGAATTACCATTGCGACTCTGGGTTTTGTTTCGAATGCTATGACATTATCTTTAATGCTGAATCCCACAACCTTGTTTTTAAGATAATAAGGTTCCTGAATGCAGGTGATGCGTTGTTTAATTTCCATAGTATCTATCTTAAGTTGGTCTATAGCTCTTATACAGTGATTTGCGTTAAACTGCAGGATATCTAGTCTGCTATCCGAGCTGGTCATAGTTAGTGTTTTAATGTATGTTCAGCTCAAAAGCGGGAAAAGATAACTATTGAATTAGAGCTATGTACCTATGAATGCTTGGTAAAGGGGCTTTTAGTAGGCTAAATATCGTCGAGCCTGCTGCTCCTTCTCAAGCAGGGCCCTGCATGCCCTCGAACCAAACGAGTGTTCGACGTGAAATCTCGTCTTGAACTTCTCGTTGCTCCGAACGCATGCACGGCACCGCTTCTCAATTGCCCTGCAGTTGGCCCCGGGGTGGTCGCCGGAACACTCAGTGCAGGCCGAGGACTGGTCTTTGCACACTTTAGCTGTGTGGCCATAAGTGCAACACTTCGTGCAGCGCCGGACGCCAAGGTTCTCATAAACGGGGCAGGACGTCCATCCGAGATACACCCTCCTCTTTTGGAGGAGGATGTCCCTCGTCTGGGGCCCAACCTCCAGAATATGGACCATGGTGCCCGATGCTGCCCGAAATGAGGCCACGACCTTGTTCTGGTCTTCGGTTGGGAGGTCGTTCATTGAGGTTAGGGTCTCAACTAGGTCCGCAGCTTCCACCCCTGGGTCAACCCCCACAATCTTGACCTGTGGGGCCCTTTTTTCTGAGCGCCTCGCGGAGGCCATTAAGACCAACGCGGTGTCCGCGTTGGCCTTAATGGCCTCCGCGAGGCGGTCTAGTCCGGCCGCGTTGTGACCGAGCACAATAACCCCACCTCGCACTTGCTTGATCTCGACGCAGCCGAGTCCGAGGTCCGCGGGCTGGAAGGTAGTACGCAGCAGGTGGGAGATCCCTGCGTAGGGCTCCACCCCAGCTGCTGGCTTGGTTGCAGGGTAGATCAAAAGGCTCTCCCTGGGGGCTGAGGGTGGTGTTGTTGGCTTGGGGGCCTCGGGTGATGCCCCCCCCTGCTGCTGGCCGGCGGGGCTCGGGCTCGAAGTCGCCGGGTTCTGCTGGAGAACCTGCGAGAAGGTGCGCTGCAGGGCGGCAACACTCTCCGGCGTAGGGGACGGGGCTGCGGGGGCTGGGGCCCTCTCCCTCTCTTCCTTGTACGCTTCCATCTTTGCCGCAAGTGTTGTGTTCTGGTTGATTAGGTCTAGGGCAAAACCAAACAGACGGTCGTATGCAGCGTGCAGGTTGGCCACGTGAGTCTTACTGGTTTTAGTGCCCACCGCTGGGATTGCCTCACTTATGTCATGGTACATGTCTACCAGAGTTGCGGAGTTCGGGTTAAGTTTAAATTTCATGTTTTTTGCCTGCGCGGCGAGCGTCTCTTGGGTCGGAGGCGAATCCCCGTTGCCCTTCTCAGTTACCTCCTCCCCGGGGGGGGAAGCATCGCCAGTAGTGCTGCCCGGCATCTGAGCGCCTCAGATGACGGACAGGCTTGCAAAAGAAACGCCCAAACGCAAAAATAAAAACCAAACCCAAAGCCCAGCCGAATCGCAGTACCAAAATCCCCAGCTACTCTTCGCGACGAAAGAAAAGAGAGACTTTTGTGCCAAAAATGGCGCGGACAAAATCACAAAGGGACACCCCTAAAAAAAATAGAAAATGGCCTAAAATGGGAAAAAAAAGGTCAAACAAACGTATTCTCGCGACCGCGCTACAGCAACGAGTGCCGAACTTAGCCCTGCACCGCCATTAGTGTTAAGAAAGAAAAAAAAATACTACATAGCGTTTTCGGTCAAAAGAAAAAAGGCGGGAAAAGTGCGCTTGAACAAAAAGCCTATAAATCAGCAAAAAACTGAAATACACAGACTGCACCACCTGGAAAGGGTGGTGCTAGGCTTTTAGTTACACAGGGGACCTAGCTTACCCGTCCAGCTAAGCGGAAAAACCCCCCGAAAAGAAATAAAAAGAAGTTAGCCTGCGTAGTTCAGGCTTCCTTTCTTTGCCCCCTGGCCTAGCAACCCACCACTTCGAAACTCAAAGTATCAGTAAAAATAAAGGTTTTGGCTCTACAAAAGAAACAAACACACGCTCGTGTTCGCGCAAACGCGAGGAACACGGGCGTTAGATTTATACGTACGGGCGAGCGCTCAAACTCTGAGTTTGGACGCAAAATCAAGTGGCAACCATCTTGATTTTTTCCCGCTAGGCCTAGCTCACACAAAAATGCTCAGAAATCAAAGAAAATTAACTTTAGAAAAACAAAAACACCTGGAAACTAATCGCTAGAGCTTTATACACTAATACCTAAAAGAATATACTTCCAGCTAGCCTGGAAATATAAAAATTATACTTAGCTTGGGGAGCTCATCCGATGCACGTCTTGCCCCCTCGGCGCCTAGGGAAGAAGTCCAGTAGATAGGGACAATTTCTATGTGAGAGAAAAATGAATAAAAATAAACATGCTCTCTCTACCTGCACCACCAGATGGTATAACAGGTTTAATCCAATTAAAATTAAAAAAATAGGATTCAAACGAATCAAAACATAAATTTTTAAGTAAATGCCAATTTAAAAGAAATCAATATGGGAAGCAGCAAACCACAGTTAGGGAACGGGTCTAGAATTATCAGGGGGTATTTATTGAGTAATGAAAGGGAAAATTCAAAAACAAAAATGTTTTCCAGGAATTGGCTTCGATGAACCAGACTTCTGCTGCTTCCCTCTTCAGCGCTATCGAAGACGACGACTTCAAGAGTTTCTCATCTTGTGTACTTTTGGACTTGTTATAAGAATAAAAATTAAAACACAAAAAAAATCCGTAAATTCTCAAGTTATTTTTCTCTCAGGAAAGAGGTCTATTGAGTTTTGTCTATTTGGATAACATATAACACCTCTTATTTGATTGTGTAGTGTTTGTGATCGACTTTTCGATTCAAATTGAGGAGAGACTAATTTCGTTACAACCTTTAGATTGCTGATTTTACGGGTGTTTAAGTAGGTATGGTTTATGCTTTATTTTAAAGGGCGGATTTTATAGTGCGGGTTAAATGGGTAAACTATCTTGTTCCCGGAATGATATAAATTTGTTTTGCTAAGATAAGGAATAAATCCCAAAGATGTTTCCAAAACTGTTGATAGAAAGTATTTTATACGAATGCTTTTCTGACTATATGAATTGTACATATGATCCATTTATATTTCAGAGGTTAATAAGAAAGGGTTTGATTTACTATAATTACTTTCTCACTGTTTAAATACACTGTCAGATCGCTGTCCCCCAAGTGCTCATCTGTTTTTTCTTTTTTTCTTTCTTTTTTTTTTTCGGCGGTGCTCCTCCCTTGTTCCAGGGAAGCGGGACTACAATTCCTCATATTTCTTTTCCCCCAATTAGGTATATTTAAAGAGTTATTTGTTTTTGGCATTGAATGTTTTTTTTCCCAATGATTAGGTCGACGACTTTATGAAAAATTTGTTAAACCTCAATTTCTTTTTTTTTTTCTCACCCATTTCACTTCCCCCCCACCCTTCTCGTTACCCTACTCAGAAAAGCCATTAACCGCCACATCACCCCAACTCAACTCCCGCAGCTCTTATCATACTTCTTAGCCTGATTTTGTGTATTAAAACTGGCTGAGAGATTATTGGAGAAACTGCATTAAATGACGGCATCGAGCATTTTTTTTCATGGGTTGTGGAGGTCAAGTATAGGGAAACTAATGGGAAGCCCTGGACTGCGGATCTAGTCCGTGTCCTCCTAACGTAATCAGAAGGGTCTTCCAAGCATGCGAGAGTTGAATTAATATATATCTAATGGAAGCCCGGGCCCCGGATCTGGTCCGTGCCCCCTAACCAGAAATGGGTCTTCCGATGGCATGCAATGTGTTCCATCATTCTAATGGCAGTCATTTATGAAGATCGAGAAGACCATGGCAGCGGAGCTAGTTCATGTCTTCGAAGTTGGAGGGTCTTCCAGCCATGCAAAGAAAGTATGATGGACATCTGGTATCCGGATCTTGTCCGTACCTCCATTCCAATGCGGTCTGCAGATAGCATGCATTTTTTTGCCATGTTTTGCTTGTCGCCCGCCAGGGGCAGAGCGTAAAATGTGGTGGCAAAATTCAGATTTGTTGGAACAGATGATATCAAGCTCGTGTAGCCTTCTCCACCATCTTAGCTCTTTCTGCAGACGTTCCAGACCATGCTCGCAGCCAGTGCAAGAGAATATTGTTTTCCTAACTGTTTTAATCTATTGGTGCATTTATGTATTTAATCATTTCTATCAAAATTTCTACCTTTGCATTATATTTAAGTATCTTTTGTTTCTGGTGAGTATCATTCAATGTAGCATTTAGCTGGTTTATATGATTTAGAGTCGCGGGACATGAATCGAAATAATGGGACAGGTCATTGCATTCTTCTCCACAAAAGCATTCTTTGTTATTTTTAATATAAAACCGATAAAAATAAAATGGAAATCTGCCATGTCCAGTAAGCAATTGTGTAAGATAGTAGCTAGGAGGGAAGAAAGATGGGATGGTCAAAGTTGATGGGACCCATTGATATAAGTTGCAATGGGCACCATCCGCCCCCCAATCGTTATTCCAAATTAACCGGGCCTGATTTAAGAGATGAGCTTTAATGGATTTTTTTGACTTTTTCATTGGGACATAGATGCCAAATCGACGAGCGGAATCTGCAAACTGGTCGGCCAATTCGTTTCCGAAAATTCCAGAATGACCTTTTACGAAGAAAAAATTAACATTGCATATCTGTTGAAGAGAGATAATATTATTTTTTTAATTTGCATATAATGGGATTTACATTAACTGGATTTGCTAAGGCCTGTAGAACCGAAAGGCTATCGGTATATATATTGCAGTCCCGGCCCCCATTTACTGCTTTTAAGTATTCAAGACCTCTTAAAATGACAACGGCCTCAGCATCAAAGACTGTACTATACGAGGGTAATGTATATCTGCCGATTTGTAAAATTTTTATTTTGATTTAGGGAGACGAACGCTGCCCCCACGCGCCCGAGACAAGCGGATCCGTCAGTGTAAACATCTATTTCATTGTGCCATTCAATAGTTTGTTGTTGGTTGTAATGTTGGTATTGAATAGCATATCTTTTACTTGGGTGAATATTCCATATATCAAAGGGATAGTCTACTTCACTAGATAATACATTCCAATCATAAAACTGTGCATTTTGATTCAGTTGAAATAATTTAAACATGAAGACCTCAATATTTAAGGTGATATTTATAGGTATTATATTACATAATATTGGAAGACTTAAATTCGGTATTGTGTGAAAACCATGACATATTTTTAGCAAAGGCACTCGCTGGACAGACATCATTCCACGTTTCAAATGAGAAGACCGCTCTGGCTTCCACCATACCGGAGCTCCATAAACCATATATCTCTCAATTGATAGAAGATAGATTTTTCGAAATTGAGAAGAAGTGATTCCCCATTGTTCTGATGAAAAACGTGAGAGATTAACTGTATGTTGCACAACTTTGGTTTTAAGGTATTTAACATGAGGTAAAAAAGACAAATGCGAATCAAAAATTACTCCCAGAATTTTTAATTCTTTTTGAAAAGTGAGTCGATGGTGATTAAAGATAACTGATGGAGGTCGATTTTGATATTTTGTTCCTTTTGAAATTAGAAGACATAAACATTTAGCATAATTAAAGAGCAACTTCCTTTCTTGAGCCCAATTATAAATTATAGATAATATACTTTCAGCCCGATTTTCAATTTCTCTTCTAGAATTTCCTTTGATAACCAAGATTACGTCGTCGGCGAAGGCTTGTAAGTGTGCATGTAGTGGGAATTTTATACATAAAAGATCATTGATTAGAATATTCCACAGAACCGGACTCAAAGGGGAACCCTGAGGGCATCCCAATGACACTTTCTTATTAATTTCTATTAGATTTGATGATATATAGGATACTGACCTATCTACAAAAAAAGAGGATAATAAGCTATAGATGTTGTTTGGGCATTTATGAATTTGCAAATAATCTAAAACTAGCGGATAACATAGAGAATCGAATGCCCCTGAGAAATCCAAAGAGATTAATATCGCTATGTTGGAGCTTTCTTTAATGTATTCAAGATGCTGAGTCAGGTTATAAAGCGCTAGTGTAGATGATCGATGGTGGGTAAAACCAAATTGATTAGGATGTATTAATTTAGATTGTACCAGAAAAAAATAAAGCCTTGTATATATTACCTTTTCTAGGACCTTTCCAAAGATTGAACTGAGGCATATTGGTCTATATGAATTAACTTCGTCTGTAGGTCGATTGGGTTTATTTAAAAGAATTATTTTACCTTTTTTCCAACAGTGAGGAAAATGTCCAGCTTTTAAGCAGGAATTAAATAGGGACAACATAAACGAAGACTTATATTGCCAGAGTTGCTTAACCATAGATGCAGTAATTTTATCTAATCCCGGTGCTGTTTTTGTTCTTAAATTCATTATAATGGTATTTATTTCTTGGTATGTAAAATTTGGGTCAGAAGGGCCTAAATGAGGGCTGACTATACGCTCTCTGAGGGTGCTTATTAGCTGCGAGTCGGTTTCGGTACTATCCG